TCTCCCCTGTGTGAGTTCTTTGATGTGAATTCAGGTGACTGCTTTGAATGAAGCTCTTCCCACATTCCATGCATTGATATGGTTTATCCCCAGTGTGAATTCTTTCATGTGAATTCAGGTGACTGCTCTTTCTGAAGCTCTTCCCACATTCCATGCATTGATATGGTTTATCCCCAGTGTGAATTCTTTCATGTGAATTCAGGTGACTGCTCTTTCTGAAGCTCTTCCCACATTCCATGCATTGATATGGTTTATCCCCAGTGTGAATTCTTTCATGTGAATTCAGGTGACTGCTCTTTCTGAAGCTCTTCCCACATTCCATGCATTGATATGGTTTATCCCCAGTGTGAATTCTTTCATGTGAATTCAGGTGACTGCTCTTTCTGAAGCTCTTCCCACATTCCATGCATTGATATGGTTTATCCCCAGTGTGAATTCTTTCATGTGAATTCAGGTGACTGCTCTTTCTGAAGCTCTTCCCACATTCCATGCATTGATATGGTTTATCCCCAGTGTGAATTCTTTCATGTGAATTCAGGTGACTGCTCTTTCTGAAGCTCTTTCCACATTCCATGCATTCATATGGTTTCTCCTCTGTGTGAGTTATTTGATGTGAATTCAGGTGACTACTGGTTCTGAAGCTCTTTCCACATTCCATACAATCATACGGTTTCTCCCCTGTGTGAGTTCTTTGATGTGAATTCAGGTGACTGCTTTGAATGAAGCTCTTCCCACATTCCATGCATTGATATGGTTTATCCCCAGTGTGAATTCTTTCATGTGAATTCAGGTGACTGCTCTTTCTGAAGCTCTTCCCACATTCCATGCATTTATATGGTTTCTCCCCAGTGTGAGTGTGTTGATGGGAGCTAAAGCTACTGCTTTGACTGAAGCTCTTTCCACATTCTATGCATTCATATGGTCTCTCTCCTGTGTGAGTTCTTTGATGTAAATTAAGACTACTGCAATGACTGAAGCTCTTTCCACATTCTATGCATTCATATGGTCTCTCTCCTGTGTGAGTTCTTTGATGTAAATTAAGACTACTGTACTGACTGAAGCTCTTTCCACATTCCATGCATTCATAAGGTCTCTCCCCTGTGTGAGTTCTTTGATGCGAATTAAGACTACTACTATGACTGAAGCTCTTTCCACATTCCAGGCATTCATAAGGTCTCTCCCCTGTGTGAGTTCTTTGATGCGAATTAAGACTACTGTTTTTACTGAAGCTCTTCCCACATTCCATACATTCGTATGGTTTCTCTCCTGTGTGGATTCTTTGATGCACACTTAGGTGATTGCTTTTACTGAAGCTCTTCCCACATTCCATGCATTCATGTGGTTTCTTTCCTGTGTGAATTTTTTGATGTGAACTAAGTTCAGTGTTTTGGATGAAGCTCTCTCCACACTGCATGCATGTATACTTTTCCCCCTCCATAATGGACCTTCCACGTGAAATACTATCGCAATTCACAGCTATGCTCTCTGTATGCTCCATACATAGATTAAATTTTTCTCATAGCTGAACTCTATGTTTATTCAAATATGAAGCCCTTTTGAATGTATTTCAATGCTGATGGACCACTTCCTCCTTTTTCCCCCTTGGAAGCTCTTTTTAAAGATGGTCAGGGGTTTAAAGACATCCGGGACCTGAGAAGCTGAAGATGCAATTCCCCCTGTCCTTGGCTAGCTTCTTTTCTCCCTTGTTCCTCCTACTGGGTGTCTTGTTTTTTCTTTTCCTGCTTCACACTTTGTTTTCTTCATTGACAGAAAATATTGCTCCATATACCTCTGATTTTCCTGCTTGTTACCTGGTGGAGAAAAAAAAGAGAAGATAGAGCATAGAATCACATTGGGGATCATGCCAAGGTATCTTCAACTGTCATAACTAAGGGAGGATCCCCATAGCTGCCTGAAGGTGAGCAGAAAGAGAGGGAAAAGATCCATTTCTTTCAACTGCACAGACAGATGGAAAGGCAGGAAGGTTACTAGCAGAGATGGGCAGGAACTGTGGTTTAGTGCAATTAAGCACATGAACCATGCAAGAAGGGGCACGCACAAAACACCTGCCAATCCATGGTTTGCACTCATCTCTAGTCAGGATCCATAACATTTTGATTGAAAAAATGATAAAACTGCTTCCTGTTTTTTCCTTTTCTTAATAAATGTAAAAAAACGGAAGAGCCTTCTGAGTTGCTTTGCTTTTCTAAAGCCAGCCAATATAGCTAGGGATGTGAAATGAGAAAGCATGCGAATTTCCTGAGTCCTTGCATCTAGACTAGAAAGCAGTTTGATATTAGCACCAGTTTTGTGTGGTCATATAAACAAAAATATGGGGATTCTTTAATAGGAATGGAAATGAGATGGAACATAGACTAAACCAGTTGTGATGGAACTACGGGAAACATGTAAAAACATCTCAGTTAACTCAGAACTGTGGGAGAAAGGAAGTCCCATCATGGCCTTACCTATGGGTAAGAGACTCATACGATTCTTAGTGATGTGTGCCAATTTAATAATTGCTTAAACTATGAAATATATTATTTCCAGGTAAAATTGTGGTTGAAATATTAATAACTAACCTTCTTTAGTAAAAGTTTTGAAATTTTTGGATTGATAAGTCTACTTGTAAATGAAAGAAAACCATATTATTGCAACTTTATAATTTTTTTCTGTTATTCCATAGCAGAATATGCTAGCACCACGTGGTATAAACCAGAACATGCTAAGCAAGTGGATGTAGTTCTTAAGGAAACATGCACGTTTATTATTGGCTATCTGTCATGAGTTCAGCTGAAGATCCAAAACCTGAGGGATTAACTACAGCTGAGGAGAATGCTGAGCAATTAGAAGCACAGACAGCTGAATCACCACCAGATTCTCCTTCCCCAGTAGTCAGGGTGAGGGCTAGACTTGGCAAAGACTTATGACGCAAAGGTCAGAAGATAGCTTCAGTGCTGCCGACAGAAACATCAGGTCAGCTAGTCCTGAGTTTTAACAGGATGAAAGACTTCCAGCAGTTTAATGACTATTTTGCTATATAATCAGCTCCTATAAGGGTGGGAAAGTCATGGAAGCAACAAGTCAAACTCTGGCTCGCATCCACACTCTTGACTACCTTGAACCTTGTTCTCTGGACCTTTGGCTTTGGACTCTGACCCCGGAGTACGTTGTGTGATTTGGCTTAGGACCCTGACCTCAGCTCATGGTTTGTGATTTGGCTTTGGCATTTTGGTATCGGCTCTGCATCCTCTGAACTTCTGTTATTGGACTGGCGTATCGGACTTTGCTGTTGAAACCCCCAGGAACGTGACACTATCTGATACCTATCCCAATGAAAAAGTGTATAATTTGGCTAGCATTATCTCTCCAGACGTATATTGAGCAGTGCTAGCAAATAATAAGGTACAGTGGTGCCTCAACTTACAAACATAATCCATTCTGGAAGGTAGTTGTAACTC